GTGTGTGTGTGCTAACTATTATTGAAATATCAGTTGCTTGTAGGGTTCAGGGGATCTCGTAGTCGAGCAGTCTCGACTAGAGCTTTCTTACTTGTTTTTCTTTTGGATATTACTAATGAAATATATAAATGCACGGACAAAGATTTGAGTACGGTGCTACAAAAGCATTTTGTCCGAGCCATTGACTGGCTGGCGAAGCGTGGGCGTTTAGAGTAATATAAAACATAAATGTAAATAATGTAAATATTTTTGTTATTATCTACATTAATTAAATTATTTATGTTAAACGCTATGAATTTCTATTACTGTTTTTGTTTTTTGTTTGTTTGTTTTTATATATATTAAATGAAAATTATATTAATAAAAAAATTATGTCGGTGTAAATTATTGATTAATTAAAAGATGACTCTTTTATGATTAAAAAAAAAAGAGTCATAAGCGACTTATCAAGAAGAGTAGCGGCTAGGGTACCATTTTTTCCCGACTGAACAGTCTTTTATGATCAGAAAATGAGCGCAAATATGACTATTTTCAATCGTCGCGCGAATCTTTTAAGACTGACTTATGCTCTATTAAACTCAAAAATGGTGGATGGGGAGAATTCGTCGAACTGTTTCGGAGAACTGACAAAATCTACAGTGATCGATCATACGTCAAATTTATTTGTTCCTTTTATCTTTCTTACCTATTCAACTGAGATTGCTGTTTGGATTAACGGCTACGTAAGGCAAGATAGGCTTAACAGTTCTTTCATGACAGAGTAGCCCGTTGTTGAAACATTTCTGTTTGCCCTTATCACGTTACATGCGATTGATTTAAAGCAGAAAGCTATTAAAAATAATGGGTGGAGTTGCCTGACTTGGCTTTATCAAATATTGTGTGCTGTATTCATATTGTTAAACACGATTACATCCGTTCATCTGTTGTGCCCTCTAACAGCTCTGTTGCAGGAATATATGATAAATTCAATCACACTTGTGTTATCTGTTATTTGTTATAGCAGCTGCAGTCTTTGGAGCCGTAGAGCTGGAGAATTCATCCACGGCCAGAATAGACATATTGCCCCGTCATCTGTCGTCGCCCCTAACTCTGACGCCGTCGACGTCGTCGATAACGCACTTTGTAAATGACTCCTTTATCATCTTTTGCAAAACAGTGCACAAGGATTTGGACACCAAGTGGCGGGATCCCAGGGGTCAGCCCCGTGAGAATACCAAAGGGCGCGTTCACATTGAAAAGAAGACGGGTTAGTTATTTGAGAAGTTTAAGCGCTGATATTGTTTATGGTTTCATATATTATTTATTTATTTGCAAAATTCCTTCTTAGGTCAACTCGCTCTGGTCTTCGAACATATTTCACTGGAAGACAAGGGCAACTGGACTTGTGAAATTGACTCGTCCGCTGCACGAGAACCAAGAAAATCCTTTGAGCTTCTTGTAAATCGTAAGTTATATACCTCAATAAAATACAACAATCAGCCAAGTAGTAGTAGACTTTTAATATTATTAGCCATGCATACTTACATAAACAAAAATGATTCAAAGCTTTATTGCTTATCATTCCAAATAAAATGTATTTATAATTCAATGTATCAATATAAATATCTCAGGTGAAAAGCCATAGCTAACCTCTCTTAAAAAGAAATTTGTTCAGGGGAAATTAAGCACAATAAAATAAAAATGGAGTAAAAAGGTATTTTGCTCAAATGTATCTTTTTGAACATTGTACGAAGTCTTTGTCCCCATCCGTATTAGAGTCTAGTTTCATTCCAAAGAAAATCATTTTACGGTATATAATGCCTATTGTAAAATTATTATTTTTCCAGACTATTCTTTTCAGAGCTCACTTTTGATCCATTTTATAACCTCATTTTGCCAGTTATTCAATGCATTATTGATTCAGACACGCAGGATATATATAATGTTTTCCATTCTCAATTCATTCTACTGCTCTCAATTCACAAACAGAAAAAATATCATTCGAGAAAACGGAGCAGGTGCAGTCAGTGCGCGAGGGGCGCGATGCTTTGGTCAATTGCTTTGTGCACGGCCAACCCGCACCGGAAGTCTCCTGGCTGCACAACGGCGAATATATAAACAGTTAGTAACATAACATAGCAGTAAAGAAGGTAATTAGTTTGCTAAGCTTCCATTCTCTGTTTCGTTCAGCTGCTAACTCCTCAAAACACAAACGACTCTCCGACGGGCTTTTTATCAAGAATGTTAGCCAATCGGATGCAGGAGAATACACTTGTCGAGCCATGCGAATAACGCCCACATTCTCAGACTCGGATCAAATAACGATACTATTGAGAATACAACGTAAGTAATCTGAAAATCACTTGTAAAGCATTTGTTGCTTGCTAGATAATAGTATTGAGTAAGCTTCGATATTATATATATACATATATATGTACATATATGAGGATGAGCCTCGATTGAGAGACTCAAGGTTATCCATTGAGCTCTTTAATGCATCAATTAATACCAGATAGATCTTTAGTAAATTATATATCTAGTCCATATCACTATTTATCACAGTCGATTCAAGGCTTATCTATTTAGTAAAAGGCTTCTCTAATTATTTGCTAAACTGTTTGACCTATTTTACGTCGCTTTACTTCAATCAAACTGTTGGGTTTTATGAAAATGAACACACAGCTGCTGGCAGTTTCCTAAACAGCTCCATTTAAACTGGCTCGCAAAACATGACCAATGGGCCAACGCCTGCTCTATGAGCTCTAAACAAACTAACACGAAACCAGAAAATTGGCAGCATTCATTTGCCTTTCTTCCGGAATTCCCTCTTTGCGATTGCAATTGAGTTGCCATTACCATCTAAATTGTGCTAATGACTACTGACTGCCGACTATGAGCTCCCATCGGAGGAGGATGACGATACGGGTGTGGATGCGGCTGCGGATGGTAGGTGCGAGTAAGCTGACCACCTACTGACCCACTGCTCAGCAAACAACAGCCAATGGATGACGAAACTAATTTGTATCCCAGTCGAAATGCTGCAAATCTGCAACATATTCGAGTATGTTTGCATTTCCTGAGCAATAAAACCCAAGGATGACTGCAATGTCGCCGCCAAGGACGAGGACCAGCCAATGCTAAATGTGTCATCAGTTTGCGCTTGAATGGAGCATGGGGCTTTTGGGTGGCAGCGGCTGGTACTCCCAATGAAATCGGTTGGATTTTTGAGTCAACGACCAAATGGCATGGCCCCAGTCCTCTGTCTAGCTGTAGCTTGTTTGTCCTAGTTGAACATGCATGCGGGTCTAATATTTTCGGCAGCACCCAATTCTCCTCAAACTAACTATCCCCTTGCCCATTATTTCAGACAAGCCTCAGTGGTTTTACAACGAAACGTTGCCTGTGCAATATGCCTATGTCGGTGGCTCCGTTAATCTCAGTTGCGATGCGATGGGGGAACCGCCGCCATCGTTTACGTGGCTGCACAATGGCAAAGGGATTGTGGGATTCAATCATCGCATCTTCATGGCGGACTACGGAGCAACTCTGCAACTGGATATTCGTAACGCCAGCCAGTTCGGGGACTACAAGTGCAAGGTAGCTAACCCACTGGGCATGCTCGAAAGGATAATTAAGTTGCGCCCTGGCGCCAAGCCCATCGGACCCACACGTTTCCAACTCAAGCGTCTCTATCCGGATGCCTTTGAGCTGGATTTACGGACGCCACGCATGACTAATGTCTCAGACGAGATGCAAATCTATGGATATCGTGTCGCTTACATAAGTGAAAGTGATTTCAAGTACAGCGCCGGCAATTGGAGTTATGCGAAGCAGAGGGATTTTTCGTTTCATCGTGGTAGGTCATATATCTATATACATGTACATTTAAATGTTATGATAGATAAGCCTACTATTTCAAAAAGTAATAAAAAGGCTCTAGTGGGGACTGCTCGACTAGGAGATACCCTGAACCCTTCAAGCTGATACTCTAATCCTTTTGCACTTCTTTTATGCACACATACATGCACATGCATTTACACGCACGCATAAGTTCGTCCTCTGCTGCGCAGTGTGGGATAGTCTGGGATATATTATGAAAATTTATTTGTTGAATAATTTAATTTGTAGACGTACAATATTAATCAAATCTTATGTTTTTTTACAACTTGGGGTCGAAGGGAATTTAATACATATACATATTTATAAATTTTTCTCCTTTCCTTTTTACCACGAATTTGGATAAACGCATGGCGTACTCGCCATGTATACAAATATGAAATGTTGAGTGTTTGGGGTTCAGCTCTTCTTCGCAGAGTTCAGCCAGCTCCAACTATAGTTTTAGTGAAACAATTTGTTTTGGTCTGAAAAGCTACAATCTTTTGTTTGAAAATCTGAATTCCTTCATCAGGACAGTTTATTATCCTTTCTAAGTACATTTAGAAACTTTACCGTAGCGAAAAGCTATGAAATTCTTAAAAATATTGTTTTTAACCTTCCAGGACATCGTTTCATCATACCCCATCTAGAGGGTAATACAACATATTTAATGCGTGCCGCCTCACGAAATTTGGCCGGACTTAGCGATTGGAGCAGCGTGAAGATTTTTGCTACAGCTGCCGCAGTTTCTCCATGGCATCCCTATAGGTGGTGCTCCCACGTTTTGATAGGACTTGCTTTGCTTTGGCGCTAGGCGATGGATATGGATTATGAATGAAGTCTACTGTAGCATTAGTTAAAATTGTTATTAGTATTTATCGTTGCTAATTTTTGGTAAGTTGAGTTTTCGTGTATCTTCTGTGATAGACTTTATGTGCAATCCAATTATCCGGAATGGAGAATGCTTTATAGTTACTTTGACCATTGTCGATTTCGCTGCCAACATTCTGTACTTTTATTGATGTAGCTTGGTCTTATTTAATTACAACTGGTATAATGGCAATCGAATGGTATACATATATACATTAGTGCATACATATGTCAAGTCTATAATAAACTCGTTTAATGTCCATGCCTCACTCTACATGAATGTTGTTTATGCTAAACAAACCATTTTTAGGAAAAGATCTCCCCAACAAAGAAAACACTTTGATGAATTTTACAAAAGTCCAAACAAATGAAACAAAAATGAAAGCCAATAAAATAACAAAATGAATGTTGTTGAATGAAAAGCAAAGAAACCATAAAAAAGCATAACAAATCGATAATACGTGTGAATTCAATTAGGCCTATTTAAGTGAATATACAACATAATATAATTAATTAAATCATGTAGATGATAAGTCGTGGATCTGAATTATATGGAAATAAAAGAAGTTAAATGTATAAAGCGTGTTTATATTGTATATAGTATTTGGTATATGGATATGGGGTTTGGGTTATGGGTTATAGGTATATTGGGTATGGAGTACATATATGCCAATTGAGAGAAGCGTGCTAAATGTTGCAATTGGTATATGGGTAAGTGGTATATGGGAGAGTAGGCAGATGTAGTATATAGTAATATTTCAAGTATGAAAATGTTTACATATTTAGTAAAATAAATTAGCTTTGAATTAAATGAGAGGAAATGTTTATATGAAGTAAAGTAAACTACATATGTAAGCGAGCCAATCGCGCTTGGATATTCTATGGCATCACAATGACTCTTCCTGACCAATTTCCGATCTCCATCTCCATCTCATGCCTAGAGTTTGCTTCCGAATTGATGATTTTTATTGATAATCCTTGAGCACACAACCAACCAACATGTATACAATCGTAGGTAGTTGTAACCACGATTGCTGAACAGTTTGTGAAATGTGAAAATCGGTAAACAATATTACTGGAAAGAAACAGCATCACATAGCTAGCCCGGACAGCATCAACTTGCTGTCGTAATCGGAAAGGTTTATTTTAATTAAAATTTACAATTAATATTTAATGAGTTGGGGAACAACCAGCCAGGAGACAGGACACAGGAGACAAGCGACAGCAGATAGAAGCAGGGGTGGCAAACGCCAGCGAATACGTTCAGCTTGATGTGCATCGAATTGAATTTCAATAAAGCCACTGCCGGAGAAGCTACCAATCAGATGTGCTTCCGTATTTAATGATGATATTCTGAAAAGAAATTCCTCCAATGTCGCAGATTAAATTCGATTTCACGCCCTTCTTATGACAAAGGCCTTAAAACCAATATACAATACGCGTCTGTGGCTACTTCACATAATTGCCTGTATATAACTTACAGAGATATCAGCAGGGAACATATTTTATTAGCATGGCAGCTTTAAAAACATTCAAATTATCATCGTAAGGATGTTGTGGATTCATTTTGCAGTGTATATGTTTAAGGGTACATTTAGTAACTATTTAGTTTCATTTATACACGTCTGAAATATCAGAATGTATATAATATACTAAGTACAAGTCGAATCGTATGAGCAATCGAAAAAAAATTATTAACCAATACTGAGCATAGCGTAATAGCGTAAATTTTCGATCAACAACGATTATCCCCTCAGCGGGTCCCCCTAATCAAAAATATATGTATATACTCTATAGGATCTGCCACTTTTTTTCATTTTTACAGTCATTATACATATATTATTTTCAGGGTATATAAATCCACTAGATCAATGTTGAGTAATGCACTGATACTGTAAATGTGTTGTGAATGAAAATGAATGTGAGTGATTAGTAAAAAGTGTACACTCAATATGTGAACGAATTCTGTTTTCTCTATCAGTCGGTTTTAAGCGAGGCAGTTGAAAAAGGTGGGAACGCCATAGTCATTACGCATTTGCTAAGTCAAAAATGTAAGATCCATACAAATGTGTATCAATATGTTTATACACTGATCCTACTGAAAATGGGAAAATATATATATTCTTGACCAGGGCGACGAGCTGCTTCGATTTAGCCTGTCTTTCTGTCCGGCGCGTCGATCTCAGTTTTGCCATCAAAAGCGCGACACTCAATGGAGAAGTCTGCAGAGCGCACAATTTTCGTTTATTTTAATTGTTTCAAAATATTTCACTTCCCAAATCGCAACGAGTAAAAGTGCGTCATATAATTTGTATTTGCAATACATATGTACATACATAAGTAAATGAGTTTATAGTTTTGAATACATCGAAATCAAATTTTGGAATCATACTAATTTTTTTAAAGTTTTGCTCTAGTAGTGTAGAAAATGCACCTTTTCTGGATTACCACGCCCCTACTGGCCGCAGACATTTCATTTATGGCTTTGAATGCTTACGCTCCAAAAATGAGAAAATTACAGTGTATTTTTCGATATGCCACGCCTCTAAAGAGGCGTAACCATACCAATCGGTAGTAGAGGTCACTAGTAACTTAACTATCCAAAGCTTAACTTGAAGCTTCTAGCTATTATACTATAGGAGATACAGTTTTACCATGCCCCCAATACGCGTAAACAGATCCGCCACAGCTCATGATCTTGGGTATAAATCAGAGATATACTCGAGTATGTGTTTCAAATTTTGAGTTTCAGTTTGCGTTCATAAGGACAGAAAGCAAGACGGACATTGCACAAAACCAATATACTCATTTTACTTTCGTGAATGAGTTTAAGAGGGAATGTATGAGGAATGTTATAAAAAATATAGACTTGTTACCACTAGATGAAGAAATGGATATGAAATGAGACTAGAGAGAACCGTTGTTCATAAACACTGGACGAGTGTGAGTTTTTTTTTGTTTAAATGCATAGCTAGAAGTAAATCGAAGTGGACGAGTACCTCGACGTGATTTTCATGAACTTTAGAGCGCATTCTATATTAGCTACCTGCAATAATATTTGGCTTGCCACGCCCAATTCCGCATATTGTATATATGTATGTATATTCGCAGAACCATTATACCCAGGTTTGCTACATTTAGTGATAAACTAACTGTTAGTTTTATTTTATACCACTCAAAAGTGATCAAAATTATACAGACTTTGGGGAAAATTACAATGATCCACGGAGCAACAAAAATTTGTTCTGAACCACATTTCTGATAATGACACTTGTTTTTTGTAATTAGGCCAGGTGTTGTGGATGACTTGTTAAATGAAGACAGCCGGTGTCTGGTGCCAGGTGCAATTAAGCAAAAGGAAAGCAAATTGTGATTAAGTAAAATATAATTTGTTATTAATCACAGACATTTCACACATGTTGCTAAAAAAAACGTTGATAAATTTGTGCGCATTTCGTACAGCCAAAAACAAATTAAGCAGCATTAATAATGAAAAGTAGTAATTTGCTATCGACACGAGCTATTCACAACTACACTTAAATCCAGCAGAGCTGTCGAATATTTTAAAACATATCGTATCGATGATATTTTAAGTTTTAGAAATATGTGAAAATAACTTTTTATTGGTATATTTTTTAAAAACTCTTTCCCCAAAACAAATTAATAATCCGTCCCAAAATCAAGAAAAACAATTATGAAGGCTCTAGTGTAGACTGCTCGACTAAGAAATACACTGAACACAGCAAGCTGATATTATAATCATTCTGCACTTCTTTAATGCACACATATGTATGTACATACACATGAATGAATAATTTCTCTTGTAGACGGACAATATTAATAAAACTTTCAGGACATAGTCATAATATGAGATCTGAGATCAAACTAACCATTTACCAAATTACATACATACATACATATGTATATTAGCTAGCGTCGGGCTTAGTCGTAAATACGTTAGAAATTTTGAGGCGAAGGGAGCTCTAAAAGTGTTCAAATTAGGCTGAAAAGAACAAAATCAAATTTTTGATTATTCTCGATAAAAAAGTTATCGGATAAGTTATCGAAAAAATATGATAAACTTGTGCTGCGTATGGTCAGTGGTATCACTAACCAGAGAACACATTTGAGAGAGCAAAGAGCATCGAGAGAGAGAGAGCAAGGGAAACATTGAG